GTATATTTTTATCTTTTCACTTAAAATTTTTGAATTTCTATATTTTAATTTTAATAATTTTTTAAGTATATTTTTTTGTCTTTTTATCTTAAATTTTTGAATTTCTATATTATAATTTTAATAATTTTTTATTTCTACTATTTATTAATTTTTTTCTTTTTTTAATATTTTATAATATTATTAAAATCTTGTAATTTTAATCTCTATAATTTTATCTTACTTTTTATTTTATAAGTATAATTTAGATTATTTATTTTATAATTAAATTAATTTTTTTAAATTTTTTAATGAATTTACATAGAAAAATATATTGAAACTCTTGATCTTTAAGGGTACCGTAGCAACTCCCGACAAATATTAAATTTACGCATATCTATCTTGCATACAAGTGTTTTATAATATTTAACCCAGTTAAACCACGCACTGTTTTTCACTTCTATATATCCCTAACAAAAGCACCAAAACTAGCTCTTCTAGGATTACCCCTAGCTAGATCGAACTACCATCAATGTTAAGTGCATATATATAAGGTTGTGTTAGGGTTTCTTATTATACACACACATTGGAATAATTAATATTTAATTTCGTTATAGTCAATCGTGGATATCAATATGAAATGTATTTGATATTTTGATTCCTTTCTAGAATAACATGATTTCATATAGTGTTCGTATCTCTCTTTTCATTTGACCTCTATCTTTTATTCTATGTTTCTACCATGCCAATTTTCTCGGTCCAGCAATGAATTTGATTTTGAAAGTTAAAACAGAGAAAGCCGCGTATACACATTGGTGAAACCCTAGAAAAATAGATGGATGGGGCTATATATGATGGCTAGTATAATAAAGACTTCGCTACACACTTCTAAATCTTATCCTCTTTAGTTTTTTAATGCATGAAAGTTATGTTTGTGTATACAAAGAGTAGCACTCAAGTGCTTGAAATACCATATACAAATCAACAATGCTAAATATTTGGGAAAAAGGGTAGACTTCTAATGAATATCATAAATAATTTAATATATGTCATATATATATAAAAGCTTAGCCGCTTAGACATTAGAATTTAAATATACTGGAATCAAAATCTCAGTTAGAATTAATTATATACAGGAAGATGAAGTTATAATATCAATGTATACTATAATTAAAGCCAAAATTGATATATAGGATTAATTCAACCTTTTTCTCTTTATATATATATATATATATATAT